CTCGGGAGCGGGCCCCTCCCGCAGCAAGTGCGCGGGGGGCGGGGAGGGGGCCCTGGCGGATAAAGATGGCAATGTCTCTCATCCAAGCGTGCCGCAGTCTGGCTCTCTCAACATGGCTGCTTTCCTTTTGTTTCGTGCATCTGCTCTGCCTGGACTTCACCGTGGCCGAGAAGGAGGAATGGTACACCGCCTTCGTGAACATCACCTACGCCGAGCCCGCGTCGGACCCTGGGGCGGCGGGCGGCGGCACCGAGCTGCGCTCGGAGAAGACGGAGTGCGGGCGCTACGGGGAGCACTCGCCCAAGCAGGACGCCCGCGGGGAGGTGGTCATGGCCAGCTCTGCCCACGACCGCCTGGCCTGCGACCCCAACACCAAGTTCGCCACCCCGGCCCACGGCAAGAACTGGATAGCCCTCATCCCCAAGGGCAACTGCACGTACAGGGATAAGATCCGGCACGCGTTCCTGCAGAACGCCTCCGCCGTGGTCATCTTCAACGTGGGCTCCAACACCAACGAGACCATCACCATGTCCCATGCAGGTGAGCGGGCGCGGGGGAGGGGAACCCGAGGGGACGCAGGCGCCCGGAAGGATCCAGCGCCTGCCTCCTTTCTGGGAAGTCTGTGCGTCTCTGTGCCCTGGACCTACTAAGTTTTGCTGTGCGTCACTTTGTGGGGTGTAGAAAGGAGAGAGGGCAGTGTTGGGGGACTAGAGAGCGTGTTCGCTTGAACATAGCGCCGCTCAGACGAGGGTTCGCCGAGGTGCGCTGACTTCTCCAAGGAGGACCTGGAAGGTGGGGATTGGGGGGCAGGACTCGGATATGGTTCTGGGTTAGTGACCAGCCCCGCACCTGTTTGGAACAGGTGGATCTGATAACTCAGCTCTGCGCTCGGCCGTGTGCATCAGGGATACTCTTGATGCCGGCGTTCGTGTATCAGGAGGTGGGTAGGGTTACTGCTGCTAGCAGCTCGTCACCGCGAACTTGCTTCTTCAATCAGGTTTCAGTTCTTCGTGGGAGATTAAGAGCCCCTCCCCGCGCTGGGTTGACACACGTCATAAATATTAAAAGTCCTGTGCTCTGCCAAGCTGTCATCTGGAGAAGCTGATAGGCAGGCACGATAAATAATAACAGTCCTCACCAAGCCAAGAAGAGCTATATAGTGGCCAAAAAGTTAATGCCACTTCTGCAGTATTGCATTATTTATTCTTTGCTTGGTTGGGGGGTTAAATATGATGAAGGTTCGCCTGCAAGAATGAGAGGTTTTCAGGATAAAAAGAATAAGCTTTTCTTAATGATCGTAGGATGCCAAGGCTAGAAATATGTTACTGCCTTAAAACGCGGGATTTGCCCCATGACTGACATTGCAATGCTTCCGTGGCAGGAAGAACCAGAAGTACTCTCCAGGCTTGTCAGCATAAGCAGCTAGATTTAGCAGACTCCCCTACTGGAGTCCCGAGCTGCTACTTGTTTCTATGTGCCTAAGAGGCAGGCCCTCCTTCCACAGAGGGGTTCCTGGGTTGAGACTGTGACATTCTGAGGGGGAGAAGGAGGGAACAGAAATGACAGATGCATTTTCTAAGTGGAGTTGCCTACTCAAAAACATTTTCATTAAAAGCCAAATTTTAATAAACAGTTGCACTACTGAAATGGAACACCACGCTTTGGCTTCATGGGGAGAGGGGGGAGGGTGCATTCTTTGGGGGACAAATTTTCATTCCAAGAGAGCCCATGTCACCTAGTGGTGAAATACACAGTTGATTTGCCTCTGGTAATCATCACCAGCTGTTTTAGAAGAGGAACTTGTCAACCTTAACACAAACAGGTGGGATGGGGACAATTCCATGCTTCCAACACATAGGCCAGAAAAATGCAGAATGTTAATTAATGAAGAGGTAGAAAGGAAGTAAACTTAGAAAAGTTACAATAGTGCATTTAGGAACAGATGATATGCTTTCTTGAGCTCAACAGTTTTGTAGGGGAAAAGATTATACTCTGACCTTGAGGCATGGGAGCACTGCTTAAACTGATATTCAAAATTTGGAGGACTATGGAAGAGCACTTTAAGTCATGTAAATAGTATCTTTAAATAAACACGTTTAATATCTAAACCTCAGTGGGGGTGTGAAGCAGGGTTTTTTCTTTTTTCCTTTAAATGCCAAGAAAATTGTTGGCTGACTTTGCAGGCTTCTTTAAATGTTTCTTTGTGCATATGCATGAAATCTTAAACTCAGCTTCTTTCACACAAACTAAGAGGCATCATTTGTTCCTGTCTAAAAGGGCTCTCCAGAACTGCCAACACATTGAATGAATTAATGGCTCGTCTGTTTTTAAAGACAGCAGTAAGCTGATTTTCTACACAAGCGATTCTTGATTAAGACCTAGTGGGAGGAAAGGGCTTAGTAATAGTTTGAAAGTTAAAGACTAAAAAATGTAAAGGAAATTCTCTACTGTGTAATTATTGTTTCAAAAAAAATGTGTTAATGCTGTATCTGCTAATAACCATGAAACTTCCATAGTATCATTTGACATATTGCCACATTAGGAGACTGTATTCACTTTGCTCAGAGATTGCATTGATTTCTGCTAAAGCCTCATTATAAGGAGATACATGACCGGATAGCTTGGCGAACCCTTCACTTTACTCTCAAATTCTTCTGCCTGAATCTCAAACAGTGCCAGCACTGGTCTGACTGTCACTGTCTTATACTTAGCTCCAGAACTTGAAAGCTTTAATTTTTCTGTCAGAATAAATTTGAGTCAGATTTTTAAATTTGTTTTAGGAGATGCATTTTAGATGGTAATCAAATATTCTTATTTTCTGAACATGGGATGCAAAATACTAGAGAATCCTTATATTTGTGAGCTTTTTAGTTTCATCTCTAAAAAGTTCACATCAGCCTTTTCCCTCTTTCCTTCTTTATTTCTGTCTTGCTGTCTTTCTGTCTTTCTTTCTTTTTTTCTTTTTTAATCTCACCTCTCCTCTAGATCCTTTACTTTTGGAACTGATAACTTTCCGGTGAGGAAAAGGTCTGAATTTAGAGTTTTGCAACCTATCATATAATAGCTACAAATTTGGAGTAATATGACCCCAACATACCCACTATCTTGGAATTCGAGTAAATGAAAATAATTTCCCCTTCCCCTTCCCCTTTCCATGTACCCTTTCTTTCTGAATTTTTTTTCTCTTTCCTTCTTAAATGATTTGGGGTTTCTGCCATTTCTGCTATTATGGTTTCTCATTCACAAACACACAGATTCTCCTGGGATCTTGTAGCTTTACTTTGTAATCAGTTTTGTAAATTTTATTTATAATATGACACATTTATTGAGATACAATTCATTCACATATCATGTAATTCACTCATTTAAAGTATACAGTGTAACAGCTTTTACAATACTGAGTCGTACACCCTTCATCACTAACTCCAAAAAGAAACCTTGTGCTCATTAGCAATTACTCCACATTACTCTCTAATCCCCCAGCCCTAGTTAACCACTAATCTACTTTTTTGTCTCTATAGATAGTTTGCCTATTCTGAACATTTCATATAAATGGGATCATGTAATACATGTTTTTGTGTGACTGACTGCCTTCTTTCCCTTAACATCATATTTTCAAGGTCTGTCATTGCTGTTTCAGTACTACATTCCTTTTTGTTGTCAAATATTTCATTATTATTTTATTTATTCATCAAATAGTGGACATTTAAATTCTTTTCACTTTTTGGTTATTAAGAATAATGCTTCTGTGAACATCCATGTACAAGCTTTGTGTGGACATTTCTCTGAAGTATATACCTAGGAGTGGACTTTCTGGGTGGAATATGGCCACTATATAATTTAACCTTTGCAGGAACTTCCGCATTGTTTTCCAAAGCAACGGCACACTTTCACATTCCCCCCAGCAGTGTATGAGGGCACCAGCTTCCATGTTCTCATCAACACTTGTTGTTATCTATCTTTTTTATTTTGGCCACCCCTGTGGTTGTGAAGTGGTGTCTTCATTGTGGTTCTAATTTGCACTTCCCTGATAACAGATAACTACTTTTTAAAATAACCTTAATTCTTTCTCTGCTCTTCATTTTGCTCTTTCCCCCGTTGCTAGCCATTATTTGGTGTGTTTGAACACCACAGTTTATTTCTTATGTTTTCAAAAATCGGGATTTCTTTTTTTACTCAAATTCAAATTTCTCGCTTCTCATCAGAAAATCTGGTGACGGGCCCATGTTCTGCACGGCCACAGGCGGCCGGAGCAGAGCAGTGGCTGGCTATTAGTTGGCCGGAGTCCCCACCCCTCTGATGGTCTGGCCCTTGGCCCGCTCCCTTCATTTATAGCACCTGCCGAACCCCAATGCTCATGGATTTGGGGCCTCAACTTTCTGGAGTCAAGTTAGGGTTAGTGAGGAGGGGTTAGAGAAATCAGACTTGGTTTTAGTAAAGGGAAAAACTTCATAAGGCTAGAACTGTTTGGAAATGGAAGTTTTCTTTGGGATGTGAAGCTTTCTCTTGCATTCAAATGCACACTAAGCGGGAATGTTGTGAGATGACGGAACTCAGAATTCATGCACAGGGTCCAATGGGTCATGTCTGAAAGGCCTTCCCAACCCTGAGAGCCCTTGATTCTCTATCATTTGGATATTTAAGAAACATTTCTTAAGAGACTGTTTCCACTTCATTTTTTCTCTTAAGATACGTACAGAAAAGCTATCATTTATGCTTGGTCTTAATCTCCCAGGCCAAATCAATTTCACCACCCCACTTAGTTTTTCTTAATTTATTTGGCTCTAAACTGTACCTCTTCACCTGTCTTATCTACTGGCAGACAGATAGCCAACAGCCAGGAATTCCAGACTCTATTATTAAAAGCCATAATTCAGTGTCAGTGTTAAATAACATTATTGGCAGTGTAATTTAATATGGCCTGGGCATTTCAAGAAACTGTGTGGCATGTGTACTCTTTTCAATTCATAGAAATACACATCTGGGGGGTTTGGAAGGAGTCCTCCCTTCTACCTTCTAATCTTTAGTAAGAATTCCATCCTCATCTCTCCTGGTGCCTCTGCTTTTAAGAATCCCCTGGCTTCTTAAAAAGGAGAGAATTTTATGACCTTGAAATCTGGAAAGGTTTAGAAAGAACCTGGGACTTTATAACTAATTCTTCCAGTTTTTTACAAAGGAATGATTACGCTTTTGATGCAATGTTAATTTGTTTAGCAACTAACTCTCAACTATTGAAGAGGAGCTTACCCATTTTTGTTATATTTCCAGACATGAAACTTAGTATATAAAGAATCTGGTACTTTGCTAGCCCCTGAAAGTTTTTAGTTTATCCCCAGATGAGATACTTTATCTTGTAATATATACTATAAGGAGGACCTTCCCTTATTGCTGAGTGATTGAAGTGATGCTACAATTCTGTGCATATGATAATCTAAATTGAGAAATGCTAACTTTGAATTAAAATGAAATTCATATCCTATTCAGATTATCACAGCTCTTGAGGATTTTATTGGTAATATCAAACCCAGAGAAATAAGGCA